TTGTCTGCTGGCTCTCCGGCGGCTCTCCGCAGAGCTGCCGGGCACGCGCTGTGCCCTCGCCTCTCCTTGGGCACTTGAGACCGGGTGGTGTCAGGGTAGAGGCCCTGCTCTGCCCGGGAGCCGCCGCTGCACCGAGCCCTTCCCTCCTCGAGTCCTTCCCTCCTCCAGTCCTTCCCTCCTCCAGCGACTCGCTGGCCTTAGTCTCATGAGGAATTATCGTCCCTCTGCGCCGGGGCAGGCTTCTGGGAGCTTGGCCCTCTAGAGAACTGCATTGCGCTCCTTCGGCAGAGGACGGCTTTACGTACCCATTAGGATATAGCGGAGGTGCTCACCTCCAAACTGTCACCTGCCGCTGCTGTGTGTATGGTGATGCGGTTCCTCGCAGGGAAGGTTTCCAGGCATCCCTGAAGTTGACCTGCTTTGAGCTGGGAGGGTGGACGAGGTGATTTTCAGAAGTCGTTTCCAAATTCAGCAATTCTATGATCCTGTGATTTAATCACCCTGAATGTTTTTACGTGTTAGCAATCCTCTCCCTCCCCTGTGTCCCTGGCAAGGCAGACATAACCTCTTAATAAGTTCAGTATCCAGGTGAACTTGGTATTTTAAAAACACATGTTTTCAAAGAACAGGTAACTTGAGCTCGAGCTCTAGAAATCAGGGAGGTTGGGGGAGAGGAAGCTTGGGTTTGGGTCAGCACTGTTTGGGGCGGACCAATCTGGGGAGATCCTTTCAGGAGATGGAGGCAATGATCCTGGTGTTATTGCTTGAGCTGACACCATGTAAGAGCCTTGTTTGTTGTTGTTTCTTCAGACTGCATCAAGGCTTTGCCGCTTTCCCTTTCGCTTGCTTTGGACAGCTGTGACTTGCAGCTTCAAGATGGAAGCTACACTAACAGCTAGTCAGATCCGGCAACGATTTATTGACTTCTTCAAAGAAAACAAACATACCTATGTGCACTCGTCTTCTACAATCCCCCTGGATGACCCCACGCTGCTCTTTGCTAATGCTGGTATGAATCAGGTAGGATTCCCACTCTGGTACTGAGGTCCTTATGAACATATCCTGTATCAGTTGAAACCTGTGAAGGTGTTTGCAGAGCTGTTCGTGTACAAAATTATTGTTTTCTCCATCTTCCTTCTGGTCACAAAGAGGTGGTTGGTGCGTCTGCTGGAGTCCTCTGTGCTCTGGCAAAATTGGCAAGAGCACTGGGAGAGGTTCCTGTGTCTGCTGGGCTGGCTGTGCAGTGGTGGGACCACTGCCAGTCTCCCTTCCTTGACCCTTTGTACCACAGCTAGTCCTGGCACAAATGACTAATGGCGTTGTTAAAGAATGGTTGGGGCTGGGCTGCTGAAAGGGCTCTGCTGGAGATCAGCACACAGTTTTCACTGACTTTTTTTCTGGTCAGCTGGGAATCTGGCTACTTCCAGTCCCTTCAGTAGTATATGGATTTGGTAAGCTTTAGGAACATGTGTGTATGTGGGAGTGCTAACTTATAGGGTGTGCTGCAGCCTCCTCGCATGCAGGAGACAGCAGGCTTCTTGTTTCTGAAAGCTGCATTTGCTACATCCAGGCTAGTGGTATCATGACCTGGATAACACTGTTGTTTGCAACATTTGAAAACAGGCTTTTAGTGCTTTTCTTGATTGCCCTTTTTTCTTTCCTCTCAGTTCAAGCCCATCTTCCTCAATACTATTGACCCCTCGCACCCGCTTGCTAAACTGAACAGAGCCACCAACACTCAGAAGTGCATCCGAGCAGGGGGCAAGCACAACGACCTGGACGACGTCGGAAAAGATGTCTACCACCACACCTTCTTCGAGATGTTGGGGTCCTGGTCCTTTGGGGATTATTTCAAGGTAAAATAAGCTAGGTGCAGCTCTGAGTCTCTTGCACAAAGTTACCTGTGTCTATGAACTCAGCAGAACAATTGCCAAGAGGAAGGAGAATATCTTGGCACAGAGTGGTTCCTAAGGTGCATGTGGTTCCTTTGGAATAAATGAACTTGGAAGCTGCCTGAACCTTGCAGAATGTTTTGAGATTAGTTACTTAAGGTTTACAAAGCTGATTATATTAACTCTGCCAGTTTGGAGTCTTCGGGTAGAGGTTTTAGTGGCTGTCCTGGAGCTGTGGGGAGTTGCATGTGCTGTGCAACTATGATGGACCTCAGACAGGAGTGATTATAACATCCTTTCCCAAGCGTCTTGCTAGTGTAGTGTTCATATTTGCAAAGGCGATGTTAAGAATACCGCATAACAGCAGAATTCAAAGGCTTTTTTGGGACAGCGAGCATGCTAGGAGTTAACTTGGCTGTGCTGTATCTGGAAAGCCATATGAGATATTTCTTGTGCCCTGTTCACTGCATATACTGGTTTGCCTGTTTCTTATGCCAAAAGTCTGAAAGTTTTTGGCAGTTTCTTTGTAGAGAGCTGCTGATACCTACAGTAGCCAGTACTGTGCAGGTGCTGCATGTTGAAAAGAAACTCTGTTTGCATTCACTTGCTGACCTTATCTTTCCTTCTGCAGGAACTTGCTTGTAAACTGGCACTGGACCTTCTCACCAAGGAGTTCGGCATCCCTGCTGAAAGACTCTACGTCACTTACTTTGGTGGAAATGAGGCTGCAGGCCTGCAGCCAGACCTGGAGTGCAAGCAGATATGGTTGAATTTGGGGTAAGGCCTTTAAGTGAGGAAGGTGCATGTTTTGATGAGCAATAGTCATTCAGAGAAAGATGGCATGTGTTACCTGGCAGACCACATGTAACAGGAGTTTTTAACAAAATTAAAGTGTCACAAATAATATTTGCAGGGTAGCGGAGCTGCAAAGCCAAAGGGAAGTACTGGTATTGGATAGAAGAGACTGAGAGCTTTTGTTTTAAAATCTCTTGTGGAAGCTTAAGAACATAAGAAGTGCCCCTTGGGATCAGATCAATGGTCTGTCCAGCCCAGTGTGCTGCCTCTGACTGTGGCCTGCAGTCTGTTTTCCTCCTCCCCTCCCAGTATCCACAGTCACTGGATTAGTTTGTTAGATGGTGATCCATCTATTCCCCTTAGCCTCTGTTTGGGGCTCTGCTCCCTTCCTCCTGTCTGTTTCTGTTTTGAACCTGTTGGATTTTTCTAAATCTTAATTGTAGTCTCCCACCCAGCCTTGTCCTCTCCAAATTGAAGAGTCCTACTCTTTTCTACACTGTCTTTGTAAGGCAGATGTTCCACCCCTAGGTAGTTTTAGTTGCCCTCCTCTATATATATGCTACTTCTACCTCACCCTCCTTGAGATGAGTAAGCAAGAACTGCACTCAGCACTCAAGCTGTGGGTGGGCCAAAGCTTGATGTAGCAGTGAAATGATGCCTTTCGTCTTGTGGGTGTAGTCCCCTCTGAAACCTGCCACTGACACTGTGACATACCTCTGTGACACACAACATAGGTTGTGGGGCCAAACCTGCCTCGCATGTATTGAAGTCAGAGATCTGCCTGTCTTCTTGATGGTGGCTTCGCTGAGGTGTTGTGTAGGCCTCTGCCTCCATCTGGGGCCAGTGCCAGGTGTTGTTGCTTGCCTGATCCTCCTCAGCAGGGAACCTGGGTGGTAAGATCTTACATTGGTCTGGCTCAGGACCCTGATGATTTGTCTGCTCATCCAAGGAATTAGTGAGCTGAGATTTCTCTGTTATAGTCCTTGGTTGGGTGAATTCTTGCCTTGCTGTAAGTCTCTGTTGTTCAATAAGAGTTTCTTGTTACAGGCTGGCTGAGGGCAGGATTCTGCCTGGCAATATGAAGGATAACTTCTGGGAAATGGGAGACACAGGTCCCTGTGGCCCTTGCAGCGAGATCCACTATGACCGGATTGGGGACAGAGATGCTTCCCACCTGGTCAATCAGGATGATCCCAACGTCCTGGAGATCTGGAACCTGGTGTTCATACAGTTCAACAGGTGAGCAAGACCTGCTTCCCTCCCCACGCTGCTCCGGCTCAGCACGGGAGGTTGCTCAGAGTGCATACTTCTTTAACTGCCCCTGGCTTGCTCACCATTGTCTTTTGGCCAGGAGCTGTGCACTTTGTGGTGCTCTGTCCCCTGACCCACCTGTACAGAAGAGGTGGGCCACAGGCTTTGGGGATAGACTGGGAGTATTTTCTCAGTTCATCTGCCAGGAGTTCAGTAGGGAATAAGTGCCATCCCACTCTGGGTCTAAGTTGTCATTGAGGGTCTTGTTAACTATGTTTTACCAAAGTTGTGCTTTGTGTGGCCTGTGTATAGGCCCATGTCATAAATCTAATGGAACAAAATCTCATGGAGATGAGGAGAGAGATGGGGTTGCCCCTGCAAGAGCCTCCATCCGTAACAGCTCATCCTTCTTATTGCGGCTGGGCAGGGAAGCTGATGGGACACTGAAACCTCTTCCTAAGAAAAGTATTGATACTGGGATGGGCCTGGAGAGGCTGGTCTCTGTGCTGCAGAACAAGATGTCCAACTATGACACCGATCTTTTCCTTCCTTACTTTGAAGCCATCCAGAAGGTACGAACTGGGGAGTCTGGGCCTGATGCAGCTGCATCCATTCCCTGAATCCCTGGGAAGATGTGTGGGGCTGGTTGGACAGGGCAGTTATGTCTGCAGGTCTCTGCTTTCCCAGTTGCTGCGAGCCCCATGGGTTTGTACTTTGCTGAGGGTAGGAACACCGGCTGGCACAGTAATTGCTGCCATGGGGCATGTTTCCAGGGGAAAACACAGAACAGTAAGCAGTGCAGCTTTCCTAGGTGTCTCCTGTGAACTGTCCTGATGGTGCACTCCTGGGTTCTCTCAGAGTGGGAGATGCTCTGCTGTCCCATATGGCCTAGGGCCATCTTTTTGCCATGTGGTAGAGAGCACGTGGTGCTGCTGACCCAGAATCAGAGTTTGTCCTTCATTCTCCCACCTGGAACATGCTGATCTGTAGAAAGCCCCTGAGAGAGGAGGTCTTTGCCATAAACCGTGACAGTCACTTGCAGAACCAGTGTGCTGTTGCTGCATCTTCCTGGATGGGGGCCATGTTACCAGTGCTGGGAACTCTGTGCAGGTCCAAGCCTTTTTGTGCTCCATGGAAGGGGCAGAGCTTCCTGGCTGCAGATTGTGTTGGAAAAAAATGCAGGGAAAAGAGCCAAGGCTCCTGCTGCCTCTGAGAGGGATGAGGTATGGAGCTCCAGAGTTGGAATTAGAGGGCTGCCTTTCTTTAATGTTAAAGTCACTGGCTGGACACAGCCCATGTGTCCTTGTCCGCCTTCCTGCAGTGTGCTGGGAGCCTGGCTGTAGGGACTGTGCCCATGGTTACAGGCTTACACCATGTGCAGGCACTGCTTTGTTATAGTGTTGTGTTTCTCTTGGGTACGGATAAAAACACCCTAAAAGAGGGAAGCTGGGACCTTCTCCCATGTGAAAGAATTTGAAGTTTCTTGGCTGGACAGGTTATGCCAGGCTGCAGTCTGTGGCTGCAGGCAGTGGGATGGGGCTGGCTTCTGAGGTGCCTCCCTGTTGTTCTGCCATGTTGCTGCTCCCTGCTGTTTAATCGTCCCCTTTGCCCACCACCTTCTCTCTGCACAGGGCACGGGTGCCAGGCCGTACATGGGGCAGGTCGGTGCTGAGGATGCTGATGGTATAGACATGGCCTACCGTGTGCTGGCTGACCATGCACGGACCATCACGCTGGCCCTTTCTGATGGGGGCAGACCTGACAACACTGGCAGAGGGTAAGAAGGGAGCTGCTGCAATGCTGCCACTCCCATTCTGTTCAGCACGTTCCCTTGAGGGGTCTGGGATCTCACGTGTCTCTGGGACGTCTTTGAATTCATCATTAAAGCAGTGGATAGCAGAGTGTTTGCTCGGTATATTTGACCCTGTTGCAAGGTCTGTCCAAAAGGCCAAGACACACAGGTCTGAGGGTTCTTGTGAGTACCAGTCCTACTGTGTCAGCGCCCAGAAAGGATCAGTGTGGGCAGACAGGCACAAAACCCTGCTTGGTGCAGTGCTGCTGTCAAAAAAAACAATGACGTTTGGGCTGGGGGCTGTGCTGTGGGTGCAGCTGGACTCGTAGGACAGACTCTTAAGCACACAGTGAGTCTGTCACGGAGCTGGGGCCTGACACCTCACCTCTGGCTTGCTGCTGGTGTGAGCAGCTACTTGAGAGAAAATGTGGGGTGAGAACCCAATGTTCTTGGTCCTGGGACTGGGTGCTGGTGGATCCCCTGAGAACAGCTCAGAGGTGTAACGTTTGCATGAGGGCCTCTGCTATTCCCTAGGTATGTGCTGAGGCGGATTCTCCGACGGGCTGTGCGCTACTCTCATGAGAAGCTCAATGCCCCCAAGGGTTTCTTTGCTACTCTGGTTGATGTGGTGGTGCAGTCACTGGTAAGTTCTTCCCCTGCTCCACTGTATTTGCTGAAGACTTCCTCTGCTGACATGTGCAGATCTCCATGCTGAAGACTAATCCTCTTGGGTCTGCAGGGAGATGCCTTTCCTGAGCTGAAGAAGGACCCAGATATGGTGAAGGACATTATCAATGAAGAAGAGGACCAATTCCTGAAAACACTCAGCAGAGGACGTCGCATCCTGGACAGGAAGATCCAGAGTCTGGGAGACAGTAAAACCATCCCTGGTAAGGCTGTGACTTCTGTCTGGATGCATCAAAAGGCATTTATTATCGTGGACCAAATTAGGGCTTAGCTGGGCTGGGAGCTGAGAGATGGTGGAAGGTGTGAGGGGACAGAATTGGAGTCAAAAGACGGTTGCTCAGAGCTGGGCCACCCCTCTCTCCTCTGGCCTGTGTTCGCTTGCTTGGGTTTCTAAGCTGCCCAGACACAACATGATAGTGTGATCTCTGTGCTGTCAATGAGGAGCCTTTTTGATGTTCATGTTCAGCAGACCTGTTCCCCGTCCTGCCATAGTGCTGAGCCAGTTGGGTGGGACAGAGCCAGACAGAGAGTGGGGAAAGGAGCGGTGTCTCACAGTACAGGGGTGCCGACTGCGCTGCTTTTTCTCTGAAGGTGATACTGCCTGGCTGCTGTATGACACCTACGGTTTTCCTGTGGATCTCACTGGACTGATTGCAGAGGAGAAGGGCCTTGTTGTGGACATGGAGGGCTTTGAAGAAGAGCGGAAAAATGCACAGGTAGGTAACAGCACCAGGGGGAGCTGGCCTGAGAGTGGGCAGGGAGGATTCCCTTCCTTGTAGTTTGTAGTCATGAGTCTGGTCCTTTCTTAGCTGGTCTGCTCACACCCTGCGTGCCCCGGTGCCCAGTGGGAAAGACCGTTGCATGGCACCGCAGTTGTTGTGGGACATGTCTTTTCTGTGCAGCTGGGGCTGGTTTTGCTCACTAACACTTTGAGGCCTGGGGCCTCAAGCTCAGCCTTCAGGCGGAGCTGGTGGAGTGCTGGGAGCATCTCTCCACTATCCTGTTCTGGGTAGGAAAGTTCAGGACTTCCCTGTCTAAGGAGTAGTTGTCCAGGCAGGCCGGCAGCTTGGGTGCCTCTCCCAACAGTTTGCTGCAGCAGCAGCGAGTGGCATTGTCCAGCTGGCTGGGTACTTACCTTGCCCATGCTGAGCTCAGGCCTGCTTTGTCTGCATGCTGGTAGCACTTGGAACAGCCTGCTCTGAAGTCAGAAAAGACAGGAGCACTCCAGCTGCTGGCACAAGGCTTTCCAGAGCAAAGCTCTGAACCAAGGAGCTCTCGGGGATGTGAGTGAGGTGTGCAACTAGGCTGGCATGCACAGGCTGGTGCTGAGGTTGGTTTTCTCAAACTTTGGTGCTTGTCATTGGCAGCTCAAATCCCAAGGGAAGGGTGCTGGAGGGGAGGACCTCCTCATGCTGGACATCTATGCCATCGAAGAGCTAAGGGCCCGAGGGCTGGAGGTGACTGACGACTCGCCAAAATACAGCTATGCTTCAGATCAGAGCGGTGCTTATGGTATGAAAAAAACCTCGAAATCATCCTCTGCTGCCAAACTGGCATGTACCTCAAACAAGATCCCCTCTGGGCTCACCTTTCCTGGGACGTGGAGGTGGGATGGGAAACATGCGCAGGTGAATAGCCTGCTTGTAACAAATGGAGCAGGGAAAGAGAAGGGCAGACTGGTCAAAGGCTGCTGCACTCTTCAGATCCGTTGTTGCCAACTTAAGGGAATTCCTATTCCCTGCAGCTTTGTGTCTCCACACTCTTATGTTTGTGTTTCCTAGCTGCTCCTCTGCCAGTGCCACACGAGACTTCAGTTTCTGCTTGGTCTGTTAGAGGGTCCTTGGCCCACTTGCTCTTGCTGCTAATCCTTCAATTTGCTGGATATTCAGGAGGCCCCAGGCTTGTAGCAGCACACATGGCTGACTTTTACTGCGTAGGTGTGGAAGGAGGTGACAGTCCCTGCCTTGGAGAGCACTGAATGAAATTCCCTCTCATCGAACTATTACCCTAGTTCTTTCTCCTTATCCCCTGCAAATGTAGCTGCCATGAGCTCCTGCAATAGCTGGGAGGTGTTGCTATGAAGTTCTGCTCCCATGTGGTCTCTACAAAGTTTTCCCGTTTTACTGACACTGCCTGTCGTCCTGGTGACAGATTTTGGGAGCCTCGTGGCCACAGTGAAAGCCATCCGCAGGGAGAAGAAGTTTGTGGAGGAGGTATCCACTGGCCAGGAGTGTGGGATAGTGCTGGACCGGACCTGCTTCTACGCCGAGCAGGGTGGGCAGATCTATGACGAGGGCTACATGGTCAAGGATGACGACGGCAGGGAGGATGTGAGTGGGCCTGAGAGCCTTTTGCTAGACTCAGTCTGACCCAGGGCTTGCGCAGTTGTGCACAGAGAAGGAGAAGGGGCCAAGCAAGCTCCAGCAATTTCCTGTCCATGGCAGGTGTCAGGCATTGCACAGGTTTCCTTTTTGGGTGTACAGCATGGCACAGATGTGCTGGAGGTTGTTCCCTTGCTTCTTGGGGAACTGAACTCCGTGCTGCAGGGTCAGCCTGTTGCCAGAACGTGGGTGCCTGGGGTGGTGGTGCTGGGATTGCTGTGCAGAAGGACAGTGCTTTTGAGCTGTGATGGGAGCTGAGGTGGGGAACAATTTCAGCTCTGCTGTGCCCTGTAACCATGCTCCACCTTCACTCTCTTCTCTACTTTGTTGCCCTGTGTGCTGTGCATGGGGACACTCAGCTTTCTCCTATCACATGCACCAGTCTGGCTCTCAGCTGAGACCTTTCCAGTTGTAGCTCAGACCTCTAGCTGGACTGTCTGTCTCCCATTGGCCTCTCACCCTGCTCACTGTGTGCATTTCCCTCTTTGTACAGAAAACAGAATTCACGGTGAAGAACGTGCAGGTCCGAGGAGGCTATGTGCTTCACATAGGAACTTTATATGGAAGCTTGAAAGTAGGAGATCAGGTCCACTTGTCTATCGATGAGGTGAGTTAAGATGTGGCATAACAGATGGCCTCGTCTCTTTTTCCCTGGATTTTGTCTCCTTTCTTTCCATTGATGCCACTCGGGTGGTCTGAAGTTTGGGGCCTGCTCTCCTTGTGGCACATGATGCTGGCAAGCAATGTGGCCCTTCTAGTCTGGCTGACTCAAGGCCTCTGCTGCCTGGCACCTGGCTTTCTCCTACTGTGAGGCAGATAACGCTCTGCTGGCTCAGAGCCATGCTCACTGGGTTTTGCTCACCAGCAGCAGAAACATATTTTGGGTCACAGCTGGGAGGTGGAGCAGGTATGGTACCCCACTGTGTTGTGGATGACAGTGGGAGCCTGGGCGGTGTGCCCTGCTCCAGACATTGTTCCAGCAGGCTCAGCCTGCTGAGTGAGTGCTGCATTGAGCCTAGTCTGCAAAATGCATTTTCCTTCCCTATAGAGGCAGCACCTTTGGAGCAAGAGGTAAGGCTCCCATCTTGTAGTGCTTTTCCCTGTTGAGTGTCTGTGACCTGGTCTGTCCTTGGCCTCTCTCCAGATAGGCCTAACAAGGGGACTGCCAGGGAAAAGCCATGCACAAATTTGGTGGGGAACGTTCCACTCCCTTAGTTAAGGCTCCAAGGCAGCAAGTGTGCTAAATTGTTTCTGGTCTCCTGAGCTAGTTTAGGTTTCTGTTGGAGCAGCACATTAACCTTCACTTCTGCTGCTAGAGTTGATCTTGGCTCCGCAGTGCAGGACCCCATCTAACAGTGGCTTCCTCCATCAGAGTAGGCGGAGGCCAGTCATGAGCAACCACACGGCCACCCACATCCTCAACTTCGCCCTGCGCTCAGTGTTGGGGGAAGCTGACCAGAGAGGGTCGCTGGTCGCACCAGACAGGCTGCGGTTCGACTTCACAGCCAAGGGAGCCTTGTCTACCCAGGAAATCAAGAAAGTCGAAGGGATTGCCAACCAGATGATTGAGGAGGCAAAGGTGGGTATGGCTGATGGGTTGGATATACTCAGGAAAAAAAATACCTCGAGTCAAGTTTTTGGATGATCTGGGGTGCTGGAAGTTTGGCCCAGCAGGATTCTTTTGAGCTGCTGATGTAGTACTATGCACAGATTGGCATCACAGAGTATTTTGAGTGGGGAAAACTTCATGTAGACTGCTCTGTTCATTGGTACCGAGCTCTCTCTAGGGTTGGAGTGTTTCTATGCCTGCTGTAGTGTCGCATTAGCTACAAGAGCCAAGAAGCTTGGCAGAGTAGTTTTGCAGGCCTGGCTGGATTTACAGTGTACACCCAGACCCCCCAGTGATGTGTCCTCAACGGTGAGAGAGTTGCTCTGCCTGGTGCCAGCCCTGTGTCAGAGCAGACCCTGGGAGGACCCTGTGCTCTGCTCAGGAGTCTGTGGTTAGAAACCATTTGAATGTACAGGAGCATGGTGGGTCTGAGCAGGCAGTGGTATCAGGAATTTTGAAGATGGGGCATCTGTCAGTGACTTCAGGATCCCTGCAGCTCAACAAACCCCGGTGCAGTTGAGGCACATAACTTCCCTTTTAGGATCTTTCAGAGGAAGTCAAGATTCTCTGGGAACACAGGCCCTCAATAACAGCTGACAGGACTGGCTTTTACCTGCTTCCCTTTCCTGTCCTTTGCAGACTGTGTATGCCAAGGACTGCCCTCTCGCAGCAGCGAAAGCTATCCAAGGCCTGCGGGCAGTTTTTGACGAGACCTACCCCGATCCTGTCCGTGTGGTCTCAATTGGCATCCCTGTGGAGGAGCTGCTGGCTGACCCTTCTGGCCCTGCGGGCTCCATCACTTCTATTGAGTTCTGTGGAGGAACGTGAGTATCTGGAGAGGCTGGAGAAGGCAGCAGGGTGGCTGAAAAGGAGTCCGTGGGGAGCCTGAGCTCTGTTGTGAGTGCCGTGGGCATATGCTGGGCACAGCCAGGGCAGAGCTGGAGGTGGTGGTGATGATGATGTGCCTTTGCATTCCCAGTCCCAAGTCAAGCCCAATTGCAAGTCAGCCTTTGCAGGCAGGGAAACTGCCTGTGAGCTGTCCCTGCCCACACGCATAGTCTCTGACAGTGCTGGGAGCATAGCCCTTGCCACCCTTTCCTTGCTCATTTGCTTTTAGCAGCTAGGTTGTGTTTTCTTCCTGTCACCCCGCTCTCACTGGCCGTTTTTTTTTCCTGCTGAGATGAGAGGTGAACTTCTAACTCTCTCTTGTTGTGGGTCTTTATGGGTTCTTTCCAAAGGCACTTGCAGAACTCCAGCCATGCTGGCCCCTTTGTGATTGTTTCAGAAGAAGCAATTGCTAAAGGCATCCGGAGGATAGTTGCAGTCACTGGGGCCGAAGCTCGGAAGGTAAGGGGAGGCAGGAGAGATCCTGTGAAATCCCATGTCCCACGCCCTGTGGGAAACCATTGGCATGTGCATGTACATATATTAACCCTGTGCCAAGGTCGTCTTCGTTTACATTTGCCCAGTATCCCTCAGCACCAGGGAGAATTGGCATGAGTGCCTGAGGGATGCAAGTCTTGGACTCCACCAGTACATTGCAGAGAAGGATAGTGCTGTTAGCAAAGGCTGTGCTGGAGGCCCCTGGCTCTGCTACAGCCAGAGGAGAGAGCTGGGAGGGAAGGGGGGGAAGTCTTGGCTGTAGCTGGGGTGGGTCCCCGAGGTAGCTGCAGGTTTAGCTCAGGTTGCTTTGCAGAATGGCCTGCTGATCTAGAGCTCTCAGCAGCTAGCAAGATTGGCTGGAGAGTTGTGCAGTCTGAGAATCCAGTCTTCTGCTGCAGGAGGCAGGTGACTTTGGTCCTGGGCTAGCCTGGGCTGGTGCTTCCTAGAGTGGGAGAAGGGGCTTGGTGAGGAGGTGGTTTCTCTTTTTGGAGGATCTTGGCATTTCTTCTGGCAAAGAAGAGTCTGGGGGCCTGTCTGCCAACATCACACCCTGGTTCTTGTCAAGTGCTGCCTGCTTGTGGCTCTGCTGCTTCCCAAGAAATTACTGAACTCCATCTTGGGGCTGCAGTATTCTTCACCCTTTTTCATGGTGGTGGCCAAGAGCCCAGCCTGCCAAATCTCTGCATGACTTTTCTGGTGCCAGGAAAGATTATGGAGCGGTTGTTATTGAGTGAACTCAACAGGCAAGTGCAGATCAACCAGGGAATCAGGCCCAGCCAGCATGGGTTCATGAAAGGCAGGTCCTGCCTGACCAACCTGATCTCCTTTTATGACCTGGTGACCTGCCTGGTGGATGAAGGAAAGGCTGTGGACGTCATTTACCCGGACTTTAGCAAAGCCTTTGACGCCGTCTCCCATAGCATTTTCCTTGGGAAGCTGGCAGCTAATGGCTTGGATGGGCGTAGTCTTCGCTGGG